ATGTCATGTCATTGGTTAAATTGCTTCATAATGTATAAGTAGTAAAATTCCCCTCAAATAAATTTTATATAAACTTATTTTTGTTTGTTTCAGGTAATTACAGTGTTTTGTGGAGTATTATGTAAGTACTATTATTGGATTCAAAACATTTTAACTCTAAATAAAAACAACTTTAAGAACTTTTATTTTAAAATCACATTTCAATAATCACCGACTAATTAGTTCTACAGTTAAAGTTCAACTTTCTCTAAAGCCTTAACGAACTAAGTTCAGTGCATTGCAATTTTTATAAGGTAAACATTTAACAGATATTTCTAATCCTTGCTTAATGGGCAAATTTATGTGGATGTTTTTTCTTTGAATTGTATTTAACTATGGCATTCTTACTACTAGATGTGCATATTAGCACTTCTGGGGCTTTATAGCTATGGCTGGCCTAGTGGTAGAGCGCGGGACTTCGGTTCCTAAGGTCCCGGGTTCAAATCCCAATAATCTACCCATGGATTTTATCTAAGTGATAATGCCGCAACCCCTAGGTCTAGCCTGAAGTAATGTGAAAACAATCCCGGGCTCGTGTGGCTCGTGCCTTGCGTCCTAGGACAAAAAGAAAAATATATTAGCACTTCTACTCTACACAGATTTTTTCGTTCTTTACCACAACGTGAGTTTGGAACACTCTTATCCAAATAAAAGTCGATATTTCAATCCCAAAATATTTCAACTGAAGAAATCCAAATGTCTGCAGATTTTGTAATACTGTACCACTTTTTGATGTACGAGTAAAAACAGATTGTTTAACATCAATGAATTGACCCTTTTTAGAAAGACTACAACTAGATTGTGTTTTGAGGAGGTTTCAGACTTCAAACGCGTAGATAAGTCTTGACCACCGACGTGTAGCGGGGATCGCAAAGATGTTGGAACACTACCAACTGTGGAAAATAACAAAATGTATCTCTTCGTGTTGACTCGCTTGGCGGGCATTGTTGGCAGCACTGAGCCTCTAGAACACCCGCTATTTACTTTAAACGCCGCGAGAAAACCCATTTGTTAGCGACAGACGTCCATGATACAATTCAACTGGAATAACCTATGCTTTTAGACACGAGAAAAATAAGGAAAATTAATGGATTTGATTGTTCTAGGATTTTTTAGTTTCGTCCCATTGTATTTAGTATTTTGTTTGTTTTAGAGGTAGGTAGGTTTTTATTGGTTTTAATTATTCTTCCTTCACTCTCAGAAACTCTTTACAACCAGCCTTCCAAAAATAATAGATTCCTAGAGCTGCTATGGTTATTATCTTTTTTGTATCCAAAAATAATGTTGCCACATTTAAATTTTCATTAAATTTACAATATTTTATCAACAATCTCAGGCAAATAACATAGAGCATTTGTTTTCCTTACCCATCCACTTATTTGTGTTTTCAATTATTCATTAAAGTCCCCCTGGAATTTTATATATGACGCAACTAGAGAAAACTCTATTCCCAGTTACGTCCCAGTTTTAAATATGTACACGAAGTGCATTGTTGTTTTATTGAAGTGATTCATAGAAATTGAAGTTAAGTTCATAGAAAACGTGTGATATTTTAATGGTAATACCCAATACACACTGATGAGTAGTAGTAATGTTTTTCTTACATGGAAATTCGGTGATTACATAAAGTCAAAGTTGTAGGCGGAACAAACTACGTTGTTACTATATCAAATGTCAACACACTCGACATGACAAGTTTATTAATTGGCTCCAAGGGTAGTTGCGTATTTCACTGTGTTCTGTGTAATAAGTCCCCGTGAGACAGTCCTATGCTGCAATTCTTAACTGTTTATAGAATGGTAATTGTTTGATTAAGATCCTTTGATTCCCCATAGGACCGAGTTGGTGCGCACTAGGCCTACGCATTGCTGTTCTAATTGAAGAAACTGTATTCTATTTGTGTTATGATAAGTAGGACATTCTTATTACTGTAATTGTATAACAGTGGTAAACTATGGAGATATTCTGTCGATCATTGGAATACATTAAACATGCTCCAATAACGGAATTGTTATTCCCATGGGTTTATGAGCACATGTATTACGACTTACTAACATTTTCAATGATTCAACTTACAAGCAAACTTACACATACTTTCTCCCATAAGCTTGTAAACAACCTTTATCATGGGTAAGGGTGTGAGTAACTATGATACTCTATAGGGATAAATCACAAAAGTTGCAATAACTTTTGAACCGAAATTGTTACAGCAATTGGGGGCTGCACTATTTTTTTTAATTATAAGGACCATAACATATTAATTTTAATCAAAACAGGCTTTTTCCTAAAATCCGATATTTTGTTATTTTGTGGGACTTATGTGTGACTTTGTGGGACTTTGTGTAACTTATGGGAAAAGAACATAAGTTACAATAACTTTGGAACCGTAATTTTTAGGGAAATGGAATTTGTACCATTTTGTTCAGGATTTAAAGGACTATAACATACTAAATTGTTATCAAAATCATTTTGGGCCATTTTCGAGAAAATCAAATTTTTCAGTTTTTTATGGGTTTTTATAGGAAACTTGCCATTAAAAATATAAGAATTTAAAAAAGACAAAAAAATGAAAAAACGCCTGGAGATATAATGGATTAGTACTTAAGTACCAAATCCCATCAAATTCGGATGACAAGTATGGTCTGTAGCTCTGTACACATCCACACAGACACACAGACGTCACTTCGAAACACACTTTTTGGGTTAATGGGACCCAAAACGGATATATCCACTCAAAACTCAAACTCGAAAATACTGACGAAAACAATGTTTTCTCCATATGTATAGGGAGAGAAAGTATAAAATCATCTCGAATATACCTATCCGTGGTGGTTATTGTGCATATTACACATCATCCGTTCGGAATTCGGTGCTAAAATATTAACCCGTCACTGTAAATCACCGCATATAGAGTCGACCGACATAAAGCGCAGTTTTATTTATGGCTTGGCGTTTATTCATATCGCACATATGCACGGTTGGACATGTGGTGTATTGCTGTAAGAACACGTAGTGGACCACAAATCGATACTGATAGGCCGCAATGTGTTGTACATATTAACACCCAAGGCCAGACGTGATTTTTCCCAAATTAAATGATTGCAGAACTGTTGTTTTATTGATATATTTAAAAAAAAAAGGTTTCCGTGACCAGTAACGTTATCAAATGAGGTTGGGTTTAACCATATTGTAGGAAATACTGATGAATGTTTTTCTTCATTAAGATGATGTAGTCGACGTTTTTCCCATGTTCTCATAAGTTTTTGCTGTCTAAATCTCAGTTTAACTCATCCACCTTTTAACTCTATTTCACCTATTTGCTGCTTTAATCTCAGTTTCAATTAGATTCATCTTTATTTTCATAAAGTCTGATCTCGGTTTAGTTGACAAATGCTTTGGCTTTTCATTCCCCAACTGGTTGAATCCCAGTTCCCCTCACCAGTTGTTTGGATCTAATTATCACTCAGACACCTCTTTAATCTCAACTGACTAATCTGAGGTTCACTCAGATTCTGCTTGAGCCTCGGTATCATCGGATACCGGCTTCTTGGATGATCTCAACAAATCAACTCCTCTTGTATGCTAGGACTCTACTTACGAGTATATCTCAAGTTTCCAGTCTCAGTTTCTCTCGATACTTTAATCTCAGTTTCACTCAGACTAACACCACTCATGCGATGATACGCCCGCCTGCTCTCAGCCAAGCCGTCTAATTTCTCACTATCCAGGCCACCGGCGCCATTTCTCTGGCAGCCAACATTAAGGTCTTTTGTTATCGTTGCCCGGGATTTTTGGCGATGTCGCCTGGCAGGGCCAATCTACGGCCATACCCACGGCCTACCCTCAGTAGTGTGCGGGTGCGCGTCCGCGAGTGCCCGTCAAGTAGTGATGTTTTTATAAAAATTGGTGTACCTGGCCCCACGCCAACGAGGTTTCCCGGTGCCAAGTGTGTGTGCTATTTGTGCTCGACCCCATTCTAACCTCCGCCCCCGCGCAGACGGTTCATTCCCTATTGTTCCCAGGTTATGGCGGAGTGCGACTATCCATCGATATCCGTCGTGGATCGGATTTCTCCATCGATGAAAGTATGACAAGCTTGTGTACAGACACACACACAATGTCGACACCGTTACAAATGTCCCCATGAAGTTCCACATCGGCGGTTTCAGTTGGGAAAATATGGATATTGATAAAACACAAAGTCATAAGTGAGGAGGTGGTCTCTTGTGATAGGGTTCAGTTTTTTACATCCGCAATTTCAACATTTGAATATAAACTTTTAATTCTCAAATTGATTATTCTCGTGCTATCTTTGAAGAAAATTACAACATACATTTCTTCATTTGGAAAAACAGACATTATTCATCAAAACTTTTCTTTTAAAATTATTCTCAGTTTAGCTATACATAAAATAAATTGCATATTGTTTTATGTCACTACAGTAGACAGCTAGATACCTAAAAAGTTTATTAACATTTAAATTTAAAGAGTCTAAAAGACTCGACATATCTTTTAACTTTAATTCGGGAGTAAAGAGAGAGGTGCCAAGTGGAACCAAGGCTGACGCTTAAATAACTTTTTGGCAGACAGAACATTTCAAAATTAATTTGATTGTTTGAACATATTGTGTAATATTGTAAAATCGTTTGATCGTATTACATTAAAAGCATAACACTTAGAGGTACCAAGTATTGTTTACATACTGAAGCGTTTGAAGGCAAACGCCATTTGGCTCATTAGTGTAGAAAGCAAACAATAAATTAGGATTATGATCGTCGTTATGTAGAACTGCAACATTTGCAGCGTGTAAACAAGTTTTGAGATTGCGTTAGATATTGTGCAACACGTTGTAGGGATTTTATATAGATAAATGTGACAAAATAGATCAAACAATCAACACTCTTTTTCCTCTACAGGTGAATCACGTTCTAGAAACGTGATAAGAATGCGTTCATAAATGAGATGATAAACTTAAGAAGTTAAAAACCACAAAAAGTCACGATGGGTTTAATGCTATCTATATTAGTTTTCTGTGTTGGTGTGGTGGAGATTTTAGACTGCTGGGACCATTTTCTCGTTCATTTGGTCCAACCTCACTACAACCCTCTCCCCAAAAATTCCGATCACAAGCCGGAATCGAGCGACCACGATCTTCAACAGTCATCATCCGAATCGAGAAGACCTTCCCACGATATTTGCTGGCCCAAAGACCTTTCCCCTGACGACGATCTTCATGTGATCAAGAAGCGATCCCACGACGTCGACCAAGAGTCCCATCGCGTAAAGAAGGAGAGTTCTCACACAATACCGTTGAAACATGTCGATGGTGCGACGCCAGACACTGTTGTGCTTCGCCCTGAATCACCCCAGTGCGACTCGCCCATCAGTCCTTGCCTCTCTAGAGAGACCAGCCCGAACAGACTAGAACTCGGAGTGATTGTGGAAAGTGACTCTTCTTCCGAACTGGATGAACCATCTCAAATCGAAAACATAAACTATAGAAAATTAAAAGATGAATACGCTGAAGGAGGTGTTAATGGTGTAGGAGGTAGCATATCACGGCCAAAAACTCCACATGCTATGTTACTTGCGGGAGAAAGCGAAGACAATGAAATGGGACTCGACTCGGAAACATCGTTTCCTGGACTTCCGGTATTTACTGATACCATACTGTCTCACGATGCTAGACGCGTTGACGTCTACCATTCAACTTGTACAGGAAATGTAGACTTGTCATCATCATTGAGAGATGTTCAAGCTTTTGATGATTTCAACCTTGAGGATTGTGATGATGTTGAGATTAGCAATGCTTTAGACGAACAAAACGCCGAAGGAGAGAGAAGTGATTGTGTTCAGCCGATTTCATTACTACTTGATGAAGGTTTGGAGCCCATCTCGGAGTATCCCGAGATCAAAGTGCACGACAGCTCCCCGGTCCCTGACGACGACTCAGACACTTCGTTGAACACAAGTGACGCGTCTTGGCTGGTGAGGAGTAAAACATCTGATCGTCCTCTGGTCATCAGGTTCCACAGTTCCCCGGAAAAGATTGAACAAGATTTCCAGTCTGTGGTCCAGACGGACTTACACGCGTTGGGTGAACAAAGATCTCTTGATAAGGGGTTGCCATCCTTGGAAAAAGCTGAGTCATTAGATGTATATTATGATGCCCAAGAAAATCAAAATAATGGTCAGGCATCTCAGCAAAACAGTCAAGAATGTATTGAAAACGTCAGTGAGATTCCTAACGAAGTAGATTCTAATCCAACGGCCAACTACATGCTAATCGAAAATTCATCCTCTTCAAGCTTGAGTGGTATTCCGCCTCTTCCAGAAGATACTTACGAATCTTTGACACATTCTTGCCTGGCAACTGATAATGGGTTTTCTCTTTCAAACGATTCTGCGTCCATTGACCTCTCATACACGCAAAGTGACAAGTCTCCTTCATTTTATTTGACCAGTGATGATAGTGATATAAGTAGATTTATTCAATCCCAGCAATCTTCCGATTTAGATTATAATAGTTTAAGACCAACCGTGGGGACTGAATCATACAATGTTAGTAGTGCTGAAGATAAAAATATATCTCATGTGCCTTCTGTTGAAGCAATAAATCTTTCGGACGCTGACAAACAGAAAGCTTCGTTACAAAACGCCATGAAATACGAATACGAAGAAATCGTTCCTCAAGGAAGGTCTTTATTAGAAGATGATAAGGCAAAAACCGAAACACCTATATTAGAAAACGTTGTGTTGGTCCAGAAGGAAATTGAAAAACGATCAAGTGAAGAAGCGACTTGCAAAGGGGAAGTCAAAACAGACGATATTAGTAAAAATACATACGCCACAAGTAAGCAAGAAATTGAATCAAAAGAAACAAAACTTAGTGTTACACCAAAGCAACCACAGGCAAAGAATATCCCTAGCAGTGATAGCAATACAAGTGACAAAAACTTAGTTTTAGATAAAACCCAGGCCTCTTCTGGCTCTGCAGCTCCCTCAACTTCCAAATCAAACATTCCCTCTAACGACCAAGAAACAGCTTCGACAGTTGAGCCTTCGAAAAAAGTATTGCCTCAGCCAAAAGACAAACCCTTAACGAAAGAAAAATCGAAAACGTCTTCGAACACTTCCTCGAACGACAACAATAACACTGCTGTGCCAAGTACGGGAGCAATCCCTCACGACGATAAGGAAAAAGACAGTTTATCTAAAACCTCATCTGTAAAGACTGAACCAGAATTGAAAACTAACGTTATCATAGCTGAAAAACCAGTGACAGTGACAGCTGGCCCTTCAAAACCTCGTGATGAAGCCAAGCCTTCCACGTCGAAAGAAGAAGATAAAGCGTTTTGGGTAAGGCATAATTTTCAGTTTGACATGCAAGTGTGTTGTGTTAAATTGTTTCAACCACAAGAATACATTGTGTTATCGAATAATTATCAATCACGTTTAATTTGTGTTAACACACGTGGAAGTAACAGTGTAGATAATTTTGAAAGAAGTCGATATGAATACATCGACTTCTTTAAAGTTATTATATACTAATAGGACGATAGATGATGATTGGTTGACTTAGTAATTATCTGTCTGAATGAATTTCCAATATATTGTGATTTATTATTTGTTTCAATCGTATTTAAATACGTCAAAAGGAATTACTTTAGTATTAGGACGATAACCTTATATTTAGTTGGAAAGAGAAAGAACCGTGTTTAGTCCTCTTTGATAACAATCTATCTTGAAAATCCAGTTAAAGATACAAATTGTGAGATTTTAGTAGGCTGGATGTTTTATGAATGTAAACGAAAATGAGCGCAATTGTGTTCCTCTGAAATACAATCCCAGATATTGTCTCAATACATTATGGGGATTTCCCTCATGTGATGAACTAATTTGCATTAAGTTATTGCTGTTGAAAATAATTTCACGATTATCCACCAATGGTTAAAATAAGACTCAAAGTTAAAATGTAGGCTCATAAAAAAAGGCGCCACCTATCTTTTTAATTGTTTTGTCTAATGCAAGTATACTTCTCAAACTATTGTAACTATTTGCATGTGTTTTTCCCCCGGATACCTTTAAATTAACCTGAAGTTTGCTAAATGACTTCTTCTTATCCATAGTAAATTTTACATTCTTGAAGATAAGCGATGGTTTATACGTTAACCTTATGTTTTGTGAAAATATTTTTTTAAGAATGATAAAATACCAATAAATCAATAGTTAAAATAAAAACTTAATTCTAAAATGCACCTTGTATCGTCTTCAGTGATCTGTAATTGTACTACATCACATCTTTAGCGGATTATGTTGATTACTTTGTTTTACATAATAAGCTGCCTCTCCTGTTGTCGTTTTCTGAACATTTAGTCTTATTTTCCAATAAAATAAAATAAATTAAACCGCGTGAACTGTCCAGCTGGCTGGACCTAAAAGAAAAAGAAAAAAAAAAAAAGAAAGGCTTTGGCCAACCACTAAACTGCCTGTGTGTTGTAGTCATTAGACTCTATAGACAAACTGTAACTACTTGTTGTGGGAGTAAATGTTCATTCACTAAATCCTCTGACCTCGAAACGAAACACTGCAGCAAATGGTGTATTGTACTATCCGCCTCAGTTCACTAAGCTAACCGGGTCCGTTTGCATAATATATTAGTTTGTTTTCCTCCATAAGTATGCGCGCTATCTGTACAGCACCGCCTTTTCAACATCCTTGTATATTTTTCGTCGATGATTTATTCAAGTCCCCAATGCGTGAGAGGACTAAATACTTTCATTAAATGGATCTTTGTTATATTGTTATTGTTATATTATGTATAATTTATACAGCTTTCAAATTATTCAATACGCTTTGGTTTTCATTTCTGAACTCTTTCTGTATTTAAAAAAAGGCTCTTATGAATGTGTCGTTTAATAGAATTGACTTAGAATTTGTTTCCTCAAACAAACAAAACAGTCGAGAATAGTACGGTCAATGTATTTTAATTTATAATTCGTTTCCTAGCATTGCGATAGAAATGTATCCTAATCATTTAGCAAAATAGTAGTTAAAAGCGTGTTCTTCGAAAATCTTATTATTGATCTTTGATTTTAGTGTTCATGTTAAACAAAATATACATTTAAAGAAATTCGATAAAAAAGCGTTAGTTATACATGCGACAGTGAGTCACATAATTAATTGTACCATAACGTACTCCTATCTAGATTAAATCTCAGTATTTATCACCAATCGAACACCAAATTTTAATTTTAATACCTATATTTCCTAAATTAAAGTCATAAAATGTAACGATTTGCCAAATTTCGTTGCATCAAGGCTGTTCTAAACGGTAGGGCCGCCCAAGAAGGTTTCTAAGTGCAGGAAACTCAGAGCACCGCGCCAAGGTCGCTTTGAGTTATTTGGCAATAAACGCAGCCTATTAGGATCGCCCTGCAATTATTGCAGCTGCAAGTGTTTTATTAAGGCCAAGGTTCTCGTGGCCTCCAGTACTGAGTGATAATGTCACGGCACTGGACGTGATTTGGCTACACGGCTGTGCTTCGGAACTTGCATACTGTAGCGATTGAAGGCGTACGCCTTCAAATGCTTACTCATATCTTGCTGAGCACACTTTCAAAAGTTCTAATAATTCAAGGAATAAATTAAACATAAGATAAATTTGAAGAAGGATGATGACACTGGAAGGATTTTCTCACGGCTAGTTTTGCTGTAATTATATGCCTTGTCAAATAGCGATAGATTTTGTATGCACTATTAAAACACAAATTAATCATGCTAGTTAATAACAATTATTCGTTAAGTTATCCACGATCATAGGCTATAGTAAAGTATTTTTCTATTTCGAGACTATTTAAGATTAATATTTTTAACCATGGAGTTATAAAGACATTTAAAAATATTTTGGATGCATTGTAAATATAAAAAATACGTGTCTATATTGATTAGATTTTCATTGTTGTAACGGTTTATAAACTGGATAAGGCCTGAACTGATGTTCAGGAAAAACTATGCAATTACAAATAGGGGTCCTGAAATAGTTATAGGTCCTAAAATACCTATATCAAATGAGATTTTTGTAAACGTATTTTTTCCATCGACAAACTCAATAGATTGTACCCAATAGATTAATAGATTGTACTCAATAGATTTGACCAGTGATCTGCATATCCAAAGCTAGTTTTGATACCAAAATACCATCTTAAAATCTAACTCTGTAAAATTTACCTACATAGAAAAAAATCACTAAGATCTTTTTCAAGGTTAAACATCTCCCAAACATCTCACATTCAAGTTTGAACTCAACTCAACTGTGAAGAAGCTGTACCTCGAACTTCGTTTATTGAAATGAATATCACTTAGTCAATTAGTTTTGACTTGTACTTAGGGTTCAAATGACTTTGACTTTCGGTCGCTTGTGCAATGTGTCCTTTTACTTTGCAGAGTGGCTATTTGTGTGTGCGAGCACCGCTATTCTGAGCCCAACTCATTCACACAGGCCAATTATGTTGGCCATTCACTAATTGATGCTAAGTTTATAGTCGGGTGGACAAACTTATTGTCTTGTTTGCCATATTAATAGTCGGCCAATGCCCGTTTGATTTAATACGATTACATGTGTCTAGTTTACTTTGACTTAGAGGCTGGTTATGGCTTGGAATCATCGAATTGTAGGATCCTTAATTACTTGGTGGATAAATGCTAGAGCAATCTTTGATTAATTATTTATAGGATTTTTTGCCTAAAGATGTCTTACAATATTTTTCGAAAACAGTTCATGCCAGGATTAGCGTCCTTGTACGTTGAATATTATTTTATCCTAATCTTTTACAGGTTAGTTTTACTGAAATACACTCTCATACTGTAATAGGTTTTGAGCAAAAAATAGAAGACATTCACTAAATTTGCTTAATTCATGTAGTCATTAGGATATCCATGAAATTTATTGCTTATTTATAATGATTTTTTTAAATAAGCTATTATGTACAACTTTTCATGTTACATCTGTGTGTTTGCTTTCCTTAGGTGTCTTGTTGAAAGTTTTTCAATTATGCTAGGATTTTAAAATATTTTTTCCGAAGTTCTAAAATTCAAACACAGACATAGGTGAACAGTAACAGTGATACACAACAGTAGAACAGTAATAGTGGCATACAATTCACTTCTCTCTTACACAGTAAGATAAGAAGTTACAAACCTGTGTTTTAGTCTTGAGAACTGGGAGACCGAGCATTGCTCGGATTTAATTAAACATTTATTAGATATGTTATTGGTTTAAAAACACTAAAATTTATTATATAATCAATGTGAACACATTTGAGGTAATTAAAAAAAAATTTAATGCATCTTTATAAATACGTTTCAATAATAATTTTAGCTTATCTTTCTTGCAGTTCTTTCGCGTTTCATTCTTGATTTTGAAAATAAACCTTGAAAACATTTAACACTAATATGTACCTAATAAACCCAACTAAATATAAATATTCTTTAAAACATTTAGTCCAAACCAATAGATACACGTTACGTCTAATGATAACATTAAAAATAACCTGTATCAGCTGATTTTGTTAACTTCGACTACAAAAACGAATAGACAATAACATGGGGACTTCCATGGTCTGTAGGACGGAAACTGGATTTTTCCCAGCCTTGTGACCTACTGCAGTCGATTTTTTGTGACCCAATATCCCACATTATACACACAAAAAATCCTCAGACGAAAGAAAAAGTTTGCCCGTACACGCGCTTGTTTTAGTTTATAGGATACTAGCAGAGTATCCGTACTTCGTACGAGGTTGAAATATAAGTATAAAATGCTTATTGCAGTTATACTCAAGCTTTGCGTTTGCAATAAGGGAGGACACAGTTTGATAAAATTTGCTTTTTAAATTTACAGTATTCTATAGCATTACAAATCTACCATAACCATAATGTTCTACCACTTCACCTAAACAATATAGAAAAATAAATTATCAACAATTCGCAAAATATCACAAATTATCCATGAAATTAAAAACATAAACATAACTGTAAACAATCCTACTTTGACAGTTCTCATTGCGAATCAGTTTTTTTTTTGCTGCTTAGTTCAAATTAGCTGCTTTCATAAATGCAAAAAAATATAGTGCTGCACCCTGTTGGTAAATCTTATAACTTTTTAATGCTTTTCCATATCATAGAACCAACTTTTTTAGTTGAAACAGCTGACTAAATTCTTTAATTCCCTTTAAATATGAAAATATTCATAAGGTTAACATGGGGAATTACAGAGCTACTGGGGCGGAGCCCGAAAGGATTTTTTAGATAAGAATATGCCTATATGTTAATCGGGAATGTAAGCTATCATCATGCCAAAT